CGCCTTCACCGCCATTGACATCAACCGGCTGCACCAGATCATGGGCCATACGAACTTTGAGAGCCTGCGCAACATGGTCCGTCATGGTCAGCTCAGGGAGGTTGACACGCTCACCGGCATCCCGTCTTTCTGCGAGCCCTGCGTCATGGGCAAGATGAAGAAGCTCCCCTTCAAGCGGAGCACCACGCCCGCCTCACGCCCGCTACAGTTCATCTCCTGCGACGTTGGTGGCCCCGTCGACCCCGCTGCGACTGGCGGCTATCTCTACTGGATCGTCATCGTCTGCCACTACTCCTCGGGCGTCTACACGCTCTTCACAAAGAAGAAGTCGGAGGTCTACAAGAAGCTCCGTCAGTGGCGCATCGACATGGAGCATCAGCATCGCGACTCTATCGAGCAGTGGGAGTGGCTCCCCGGCTGGGTCGAGTTCACCCGCACAGACGGCGGCGGCGAGTTCTGCTCAAACAAGATGGAGGCCGAGTTCCGCCGACGCGGTATCATCCATGAGACGACGGCGCCCTACACACCTGAGCAGAACGGCATAGCGGAGCACATGAACCAGACGCTGGTCACCCAGGCAATCGCAAACCTCTGCGCGGCCAAGCTTCCCCGGAAGTACTGGATGTATGCGATGGAGTACGCCACCGACATGATCAACCTGTCGCCCACTAGCCGCCAGAAGGGAGAACTGCCACCAGTAGAAGGAGATAATACACAAGTGCCATGGCTGCAGCCACTGAAGCCAAATGCATTTGGCATGGCTCTAGCCACTGGTGGCTGGTGCCACTGCAAAAACACAAAATCTCGGACTTTGATCAAAAATTTGAAGTTGAAGAAGGGTAGGTTAGGAGGGTTAGGGGTTGGTTTGGGTTGGTTAGAGGTTAGGGTTTGAGGTTAGGAGGGTTAGGGAGGTTAGGAGGTTAGGGTTCAGGGTTAGGGTTTTGGGTTAGAAGTTAGGGTTAGGGCCAGGGACGTCATATCTGTCTCGTTGTCTCGTTGGTTAGAGGTTAGGGTTTGTCAATAATGCACATTCAGAGTGGGGAGGGTTAGGAAGGGTTAGGGAGGTTAGAAAGGTTGGGCTAGGAAGGGTGATATAGTGCAACACATCTGCTAGCTAAACAAGATCCAATGGCTTAGCTGGTTAGAGCACCACTCTGACTGCACAAGGTCTGCAGTTCAAACCTTGCTATGTTTGCTCTTGATTTGCAACATTTTTAAGTAGTTTCTGATGGCATCTGCTGACAAATCTGTCAGTGATGACTCAGACAATGCCTAATTAGGTTGCAAGTTACCAAATATGGCAATTGGGAGCGATGCATTTGCCAGTGGCAGCAGCCACCAGTGGCTAGAGCCATGCCAAATGCATTTGGCCTCAGTGGCTGCAGCCATGGGCATTTGCCTCAGATTTCCTGCTACGGCTCGGCAGTGACAGCGAGGACGATGACGACGACGATGCGCCGGCCCAGCCACCGGCAGCCGGGTCAGTGGGAGCACCTCGTCCACCCACGCCAGAGCCAGTGGGAGATAATCGTCTGTCCTCCCCTGACTCGGAAGGGTCAGCGCCGGCTCCACGTCCACCTAAGACGCGCATACCGCGCCGGTCTCTGCCACTGGCTACGCCACCGCCGCTGGTCCATCACGCCGCCCTGGTCTTCGCAAGCCAGAAGAGCGAACGGCGAACCAGCACAAGGACCAGGGCTACATTAACGCTCGGGAGCGGCAGGAGAACCACCAGAAGGTGTCCGCCCAGCAGCGGAAGCAGCGCGAAGCAAACATCCGCACGCGCGAGCAGCAACTCGAGGAAAATCGCCGACGTCGAGAGCAGCCGCCTCAGGCGGAAGCTCCTCCTCCTCCTCCCGCACCAGCTCCCGAACCAGGACCTGTACCAGCGCCTACCCAGGGGGGTGGGGATCCCCCGGGTCAACCCAATGAAGAGGGCGAGTCAGTGAACTTTGCTTTTCTCAATGACAAACTCTTTGCGGGCGCGGCATCTGGTGGTCGGTCGAGCAGTGGCGCGCGGAAGATTCCCACCACCTGGAAGCAAGCCATGGCGAGCCCAGAGCGTGACAAGTGGTTGGACGCGCAGTCGGAGGAGTTGAACAGCTTCAAGCTGAACGACGTCTACGAGGAGGTACCCATCCCGGAGGGCGTCAAGCCGATCACCTCCAAGCATGTCTTCTCCTTGAAGGAGGATGCTCAAGGGAACATCAAGCGGTACAAGGTGCGCATCGTGGCGCGCGGCTTCACTCAGCAGGAAGGAGTTGACTACCAGGACACCTTTGCGCCCGTCGCAAGCCTGGAGTCCATCTGCATCATCCTTGCCCTCGCCGTCCGCCTCAGCCTCTACACTGACCAGATGGACGTGAACACCGCCTACCTCAATGGTGAGCTGCTACAGACGCTCTACATGCTTCCTCCGACTGGTGTGGACATCCGGGAGGGCTACTGCTGGCGACTCAAGAAGTCGGTCTACGGCCTCAAGCAGGCCGGTCGCGCGTGGAACCAGACGCTCCACAACAAGCTCGACAAGCTCGGGTTTGTGCGCCTCAACTCGGAGACTTGCCTATACGTCTTCCGGGACGCCAAGCAGGTTTGCTTCCTCGTCGTCTACGTCAACGACCTCCTCCTCGCTGCTACCTCGCGTCCTTTCATGGACAGCATCAAGAAGAAGCTCACCGCCTCCTTCAAGATGCGCGACTTGGGTCCCGCCAAGTACCTCCTGGGCATCGAGATCATCCGGCACCCGGGCAAGCGCACGATCTCCCTCTCCCAGAGGAAGTACATCGACACCGTGCTTGAGCGCTATGGCATGTCGGACTGCACAGGCGTCAGCACCCCCATGTCCACAAGCACTCGACTCTCCGCTGATGACCCAAACGACAACGAGGTGCGCACTCATATGGCCTTGGTCCCCGGAGGTCCCGTTGTCTCCTACCAGAGCGTCGTGGGCTCGCTCATGTACGGGTACCCGACCGGATACCGCCTACGTGGTGGGGGTTCTTGGCCGCTATAGCGCCACCCCCAAGGCTTGCCATTGGGAACTGGCCAAGCGTGTCCTCCGGTACCTCAAGAAGATGCGCGACTGGTGCCTTGTCTACAATGGCGCTGACGCTGGCATGGATCTCGACTTCCATGGCTACACTGACGCTGACTGGGGCGGATGCAACGACACGTCCAAGTCTACCTCCGGCTTCGTGTTCATCTCAAGTCGGGGCGCCATTGGTTGGTCCAGCAAGCGGCAGTCTATGGTCTCTCTCTCGTCTACCAAGTCGGAGTACATTGGTCTTGCTAACGCTGGCCAGCACTTGGCGTGGCTCCGCTTGTTCTTCGAGGAGTTGGGACGTCTGCAGGCCGGTGCCACCGAGCTCAGGTGCGACAACCGTGCGGCCATTATCCTCAGCCAGGATGCTCAGTTCCGTGCCCAGACCAAGCACATCCAGCGGAAGTACCACTACATCCGAGATGGGCTGGTTGCCACCGGCGAGTGCGTCGTCCTCTGGTACCCCACGGACGAGATGGTCGCGGACATCTTCACCAAGGCACTACCTCATGAGAAGCATCTCAAGTTCTGCCAAGGTATGGGTTTACGGCCAGACTCGAGTGGGAGTGTCAAAAGTGGTCGGTAGGGCGAGTCTGCCTTCACCCGGAGTCACATGACCGCTCCCAACTCCAGGAATCACTGTGTCACATTCCCAGAGTTGGTGTCACATGATCACATGACTTTTCCCCACGCTTTGCCCTGGTGGCCCCGTACATACGCGTGTATTCTTTCCTTCTTTTCCCTCAGTCGCTATCCTATACGCAGGAAGACTGAGGGTATGTCTTTTACTTACTTTACTCCTACTTATACTGACTGTACTTTAGTCTTGCGCTCTCTGCGCTTATTTAGGTATGAATTCAGTCACTATCCTATACGCAGGAAGACTGAGGTCTTGCGCTCTCTGCGCTTATTTAGCTCGTGAAAGGACTCCCGCCACGTCTCGTGCTCTCCGCCACTCCGTCGGCGCGACCAATAATCTGTGCAAACAACCATGCACGAGGCTCCACCATGCATGCGCTTTGACTTGGCGTCGATAGAGGGTAGGTGGTGCACGATGGATGGATGGGAGGGTGTGCTGTTGCCGGAGGACAGCAGGGTCCCATCTTCATTGTCTTTCTTGTCGGTGGGAAGTGGTGGATCTCTGCCGATCGCGTATCGGCTCCACTCTCGTCGCATCTGGCTTAATGTTGTTACTCGCTCAGCTATCAGCCGCTCGCCGGCCAAGTCAGCCGCATCGAAGCCGAGCTGAGCCATGCGTTCGGCTAATCATGCGGCTGACTCGGCAATGGCTTTCTGGCCGCAAGCCGACAAAGCCGGCGCGGCTGATTCACGGCTTGCGTCCCGAAAAGGAAGGTTTCTATCGTTTGTCTTGTCTTTATTGCTCGTCCGGCCGCATCAGCGCGTAACGTACGCCTTCACTGTGAAGTACTATAGAATGAACATGAGCTTCAGGATGGAGCGTACAGGAATACATTGACGACTTATTCCACACTGAAGAGAGCCCAAAGGTGCCTTCATGTGTGCAAGCACGGGGCCCTGCATGCATTCAGTCGGCATCGGTGCACACCCACCCCATCCTTCCGTTTACTCTGCTGGAGCATCCTCGCCTCTAGAAGGACTGTGAAAAGCACTGTAATGACAACACAAAATGTCGCCGCAGTCCTGCTCAGACACGGTCCAGCATGGACAATGCCTCAGGTGGTCTGTGTAATGAACTTCAACTTGGAGTATCTAGAATCGATCCTTATCCGAAGGAATTGTGAGTCTTCCAACAATGTGTTCCATGCTCAGGTGCTCCTGGCTTACACGTCTAGAAGGGACTTCAGTGCATGGCACTCTGCTAAAAGTGAGTCCCCAGCATGATGCTATGCGCAGGTGCGCGTTTGTCATTTGCCTAATATCTGGTCTACGCACCACTATCCTCAGAACGGCCTTTTGACTCGCGATGCCTCCCGGAAAGATGCCAACAGCAAGGAAATCAAAGACGACACAGAAGGCAGCACCCGCACCGGATGAAGTGGTCACTCACTTGGCTGGGGGCGCGATGCAGTCGCAGTTTTGCATCAAGGGTACACATGTTTTGTTGTACATGCCCCGCCCCATCTGTACACTAACCAGAACATTGGTAGGCTACCAAGGCCTTCCTACCGCGACCGAATCCGAGGCTGCTCTACCAGCGACCCGCACTACTTGGAGCCGCTCTGCGCGCAACACGCAACCACCACCCGCTCCTGCGCGCACGGCTCAACCGCCTCCCATGCAAGCACATCCCCCTCCACGGACTCCTCCTCCTCTGCCGGTTCAGCCGGCTTGACGTGCTCGACCTGTTTGTGTTGAGGTAATCGATGAACCAACCGTGTATCCAGAGAATCCCGACGCGCCGGTCCTGTTGCCTGACCTCCTACCACGTCCTTCCCAGACCCCTTTGCAGCACACTGCTCGCGTTAGTGAGGCCCATCTCTCCTCTTCGCGTTAGTGAGGCCCATCTCTCCTCTTCGCGTCGTAGAGGCCATCAGCTGCCTCCTCAGCCTCTTCCTCCCGGCGATGGACCGGTCTTCGTTGATGATATGTTCACTCAAGAAGAAGCACCTCCTGGTCGTCCTGAGGGTGCCACTCCTCCACCTACTTCCTCAACGACTGGCAGTGGCGAGAAATTTGACACACCTTCACCATCCGCTACTCCCACACCTACATCTGTGCCTCCACACCACTCTGCTCTGCGCTCACGGGGTGTACCTCGGTCGGGACCGCATAGTCCTTTCCATCACCATGCGCACCGCCCGGCACCTAAGACGAAGGGTCGGCCAGAGGCCTTGGATGTGTGGACGTTCTTCCAGGAGATGGATAAGCACCAATGCTGCCGATTTTGTCTGTGTGCCGTCTCACCTGTTGTAAATCATTATTGATCTCTTCACAGCCTTGAAGTCAACGGCGGTGTGCGCAAGGCAGCGTTCCCCTACTCTTTGAAAACATCGAGTGGGATGCTTCACGGCCACCTCCTGCGCATGCATGCGCCGCTATGGATCGCAGCCTGCAACAGGAGAGGCATTGCAATCACTGCCGACGTTGCACAGCCTACGGTGCGCGCGTATCGGGCTGAGCAGGGGCAGCCTCCTCCTCCCTCGGCCGCCAACAGCCCCCACCTTCCATTCTCAAAAAGCACCTTCGTCGATGCTATCTGCGCGTGGATTGCAGGCAACGACCAGGTACGTTATCATAGCACTTCAATTTGTTGTTTTTCATTCAACATACCCAGAGCATCAATGTCATCGACAACCCGCTGTTACGGAACATATTCCTTCTCCTACGCAAGGAGCTGCAGGACGCGGACATACCGAGACGCGCTAGGGTGCGGGATCGCATAATGGAGCTCTACAAAGAGCGCCTGGCTGCAGAAATCGAGGTACGTCTGCGCCACCGCCCTTGAGACTGTGTTCACTAACTGAGCCGTAGCAGGAGATCTGAGGCAAATGGCACTGGCGCTAGCCACAAGAGCCAAATACATTTCACCTGGCTCTAGCCACTGGGGGCTAGTGCCACTGCACCAACACACCCACATACTTCCTTAAATGGAAGGCTGTAAGTTGATCGGAGTGAATGTGACTCATACCAGGATGATTTGTCATCTTGATGGCACCAATACCATCATAAAAATGGTACAATTTGACAATGTCATCACCAGGGTTTGAACCCCAGACATCCTCATCTGTTTAAGTTGACATCTTAACCAGCTGAGCCATTAAACCTTGAAGTATGTTGGCACAACAAAGTACACATTACCCAACTATTGTCAACCCTTCTCTCCTTTTCTTACCTTTCTAATCTAGTCTTCTCTTTATATCCTTACTAGTATTGCTATTCTTACTGCTTTACTCACTTTACTAGCCTTGCTGACCTCCAACCCTTCTAACCCTTACAGGTTACTTTAGAAAACCTTATCCTCTTACTAACAAGACAATCAAGACAACTGAGACAGATAATAACGTCCCTGGCCCTAACCTAAACCTAACCTCTAACCACTAACCCAAACCCTAAACCCTAAACCCTAACCACCTAACCTCTAACCTCTAACCTCTAACCCCTAACCTACCTAACCACCTAACCTCCCTAGCCTCTAGCCTTCCTAACCTGCTAGGTCACTTGAGGCTCATTTTCACTAAGTCCCTGCATTGGCAGCTGGCACTAGCCTCTAGTGGCTAGAGCCAGGTGAAATAAATTTGGCACTTGTGGCTAGCGCCATGGCATTTGCGCAAAACCTCCTGCTACTGGTGATGATGGAGTGCCTTGCAAGACTGATGCGCCTGCGCCATATCCCCTTCAACAGCTTCAAGCAACATATCCGGTGAGTAATAGCTTATCATTTGCGAAGTAATCTTGACGCGTACATTACATAGATGCTTCGCACACATGTGAACCTTGCCTGTAAGGCCATCATAGCTGCTATCACCAACATCGACTACGCGGCAGCTGATGCGCTGGAATACGTCCCCCCGGCTTCAAGCACATGTACCTCGCTGGAAGGCTTCGCCGATGCTCTGCGTAGGGATCCTATTGCCACGATTCGTGCAATTGTCTGCGCGGTAGGCGGCTCCAGCACATTCTATGCCTACATTGAGTTCATTATCTACTTCAGATCCGGGCATCATCCGAGCGACGCAAGGAGTTCAGTGATTGCGTCAAGGCAGCACTGGATGGGAAGGATCTCAAGCTCGTCTGGGACATGGACGTGCGCTGGTCTTCCACTCTATTGATGATCATGTGTGCCCTTGATCTGCAAGAGGTCAGCTGTCTATATCGTTCGAGATATCTCCTTTTCTGATACAATTTTGTCAGCCCATCGAAGTTTTCCTTGAGGAGAAGTTGACCCATCTTCAACTGGACAGCAAAGAGTGGGACGCGCTCAATGTCATTCAAAACATCCTTTTCGTACGTCAATCATCTATGCCTTCTTCGAAGTGCTGATCAGAATGTACGCCTAGGTCCCATACGCTTTTCAACAGAAGCTCTCCACGGAGAAGATCCCCACGCTCAACTGCACAATCCCCATCTTCAATGCAATGGCAAAATTGTGGGAGCGCCTTTGGGACGAGGACGACATGCCTCTTGACGCCGTTGACATCATTAACGCCGGCCTGGACAAGTTGAGCGATTATCGCCAGCGCATCACCGATGTCCCAGCCTACTACCTAGCAATAACCAACTTGTGACAGTGGTACGAGGACAAATAGATAAGGTAAAAACCACAAAATGCGGTATATAATGCGCTGATCACGTGCGCATGCGGCAATTGCTGAAACCCAAATTCCACAGAATGTACATATATTGCGTTTTGGGAACCTGCCGCTGCATAAGGGTGTTTCACGAGCTAAAAAAGCGCAGGACGCACAAGACCTCAGTCTTCCTGCTAGTGGAATAGCAACTGAGGGAAAAGAGATGTACAGTAAAGATAAATACGGACACCCCCAGAGCTGTCACGAGTTGGTTATTGTTCTGTACAGCTCGACTCTAGCAGTCACTTGGTCATGTCACGTGTTCATGCCTTATATACTGAGTAGTCATACTTATACACTCTTTAGTCTGTGCGTAGTTGCCTTCGGTTTGTGTCTGTGTTTGGCGTTGCCGCTGGGTGCACCAGGCCCTCCAGCCTGCTGCTGAGGAGGGGCCTCTGAGGCCCTGCCCAGGGCTTTGTACCGGGTCTGTCGCTTGCCTTCCCTTCTTGCTGCTGGAGGTCTGTCCCTAGGTATATCCTGATACACCCTATGACTGTAGGGGGGTGTAGTACATTATACCCAATAGTTGCAGGCCGTTACTCATAGGGTGTATCTTGTTGTTCTCCCTACCTATATCAGGGTATTTCTGCCTAGGATAATACTGGGTTCGAAATCCTTTTGATGGCTGTCAGAGACTCCGGCAACATTACCTCGGTTGATGCTGGGTTGATGGCGCCCGATCAACAGCCTCTTTGGGGCATGCGGCCCACGCTTCGCGGCTGCCTGCCACCACCGCAGCCGTTCCCGCTGCCGCCCACCACCACCGCCACTGTTCACACTGCCGCTCATCCCTTCCGCCCGTCATCCACCCTCCACATTGTGGCTCCCTTCCGTCTCCTATCCTGACCCAATCCACGGCCAGGTGTGGCAGCCTGCTTGGGGTATGCGTGGCGGCGGCGCCGCCCACCGCACCGCCCCTTGATGCGCCGCCCACACCCCTCGACGTGTTGCCGTTGGCCCTTGGCACATCGCCTGTGCCCCTCAATGCATTGCCCATGCCCCTCAACGTGTCACCCCCGCTTGGGGCATGCGCGCCGCCGCCCGCTGCCGCACCACCGCACCGCCGCCGCCACCCCCCCACCGTAACGCCTCTCGACGCGCCGCCCAACGGCGGTAATGTCAGCTCCCTACCAAATCTGCCTATGTGTGTCCGCGCCACAATCATGCCCTCCCATTGTACCGATACAGCTGTGTCAACGTCCGACACCCACAAATTTTGGCTGACTAATCAGACGATCGCCACCATGTACGCCTCTCCTCCACTTTCTGGTTGTGACCCTCACGCTTACGACCTGCAATACTCTAGCCGATATACGCCTGGTGATTCTACAATATATTGCTGCACATCTACCTCTACACAGAGCTTCTTCCCCCCTACCTACCTTTAAGAACCTTCGTCTTATACACATGTACAATGTCAGAGTGCTACAACACAATCAGGATATGCTGAACTGCACAACGGGGGCCACCGTCACAGCATGCGGCGCAATACTGCGGTGTTTCGACCGTAGGTTCACGTCACGCGTCATGGCGGTTCACAAACTGAACCTATCGGGAGTCCGTCATGCGTCACGGCTATCCGTGAACTGCGTGATGGGCACATGTAAAAAATACGCATTTCAGGCCTCTTTTGGCCCCGTTCGTCGTTTGGTGTAGCATATGAAGTAGATAGGAAGCAATATATCTGCTATACAAGATCTCTGCTGCGCTTTCCCTCGCGCTCGCCCCGCAGCCTCAAGACTCAACCTCAAAGTCCAGATCCTCGGCATCGCTGACAGGCTCGAAGGAACCCGATTCGTTGACCCGCACCCCCACAGGAACCTGCTCCGTCACAATGAAGTCAATGACTGCCTGTGTTGGCAGATCACTGCAATCTTCAACATCTGTGCATCCAGCTGGCGCCCGATGTTCCTTGTCTTTGACTGGATCACTCTCAGCACCTACTGGAGCTGGAGCGTCCGAGACAAGCTGCTTGTAGAATTCCTTCTCCTTGATAGGCAACTCGCGAAGGTGTGTCAGCATGGCCGGGCTTGTGATGCTCGCGTGCGATAAGTCAAAATCCCCAGCGCGGCAAAGTTCGAAAGCCTAAGATGTCTTGTTAGCAAGAAATCACCACAAATCCGCACCTGAACATTGTTACGCACCTTTTGCGCTAAGATAGGTCGGGGAGCCTTTCGACCGCATCACATGATTGTGACGTTCGTGTGACGGATAACCTCCGCCTGTTGTCCCATTTGGGACATAATCCCGTCTTGCTTGTCGAGGGCCGTTGCATCCTACATCTTTGATCTACAATCAGGTCAAGCATTGTATCAGTGTACATAGCTACTGCATATTATCTTTCTGCCCATTTTCATCATCAAAAAGCGCCATAATGTTCTCGGGAACCATACGGTGCCCGCTGTACTTCTTCACTGCCCATTCCGCCATGTCTCCATCCAGGCCCCTCATATAAGCGCTCGTGAACCTCAAGCATCGGTTCACATGCCTGCATCAGTGAGTCGGCAATGACAGGCAGCGAGGGAGACAATGACTAACCGGCGTTGTGTGATCAGGGGAACGACTTCGAGACAACGCACAACATTCTTCTCCAGGACGTCCTGCCGTTTCGAAAACGGGAAATCACGGTAGACGCGCTTTGAGTAACTCCACGACATCTCGATCGGATTCAGCTCGCAATGAAATTTCGGCAGGAAAATCACTGTAGCGCCTCGTCCTTGAGCCGTCGTCTCGAGAATTGTGGGAATCTGTGGGTGATGAGTAATGTGTTGGCGGTGCGAGGCCCTCCCACGCACGTTGACAAAATCGGGCTGATTGAATAGGGTCCGTCGGCAACAACAATTCAATTTACCCGTTTTCCTGTCGTCAGGACACTCCAAGAACTTCTTCTTGCACTGGGCCTTCATGCCATTGCGCCAAAGCCCGCGCTCCTCTAGCAGGCGGCGCATTCCTTTGAATTTACCCGCATGATCCAACTCCTCCTCCGTCGCTCCTTCCCCTGCCTCCTCATCAAAGTACAATCTCTGCACCTTTCCATCCCACTCGGTGTCCTGCATCTTGACGACCTTCTCTTTCACGAGTTTCCCGTCTGACCCGTACATCGGCCGACCCTCCACATCCAGCTTAGTTGTTTGAACAAAGAATTTTCCCGACGGACCTTTCGGCATCTTCCGCGCGGAGAGCGACACCTCGGGGCGCTTGACATGTGTTGGCGTGTTGTCATATATCCAGATGTGCTCTTCGTCAGGATAATGTTCTTTGACGAGATCAATCGCACGATGGAATTGACGCAGGACCCCGATGCTGTCGAAGTAGCCATCACGATTTTTCCCCGCATGTAGCAGCACACGCGCATCGTCTGTGCCATCGGGCGACTTCAGCCAGCCGTAGTCCATCGAGACGAAGTCGGCAACCATCAAGGACAGCCCCTCCCCTTTCACCCAGGGCTTAGGCTTCGTGTCCTTGTGCACCCAGCGGAGCTTCCTTTGGTCGTGCGCGTAGAAGGTCAACTCATCGTGGAACTACAGCACCACAATTTTTTCGCCAGGCTTGAGCACGGGGTCAATGAGCTGCCCCGTTTTGCTGTCCCACTTGTGCATGTGCGGCAGGAGGGCCTCGATCGCAGGACCGTACACTTTCATGCGGTAAGTAACCTGCGCGGGGTCCTCGTGGCCATCTGCGTACATGCCGCACAGCTGTGGGGCGAAGCGGTAGTCATGCCGCTTCAGCCAGTCGAGCGCCATATCCAGGCTGATCGGCTTGTCCCGATTCAGGAGCTCCATCATCTCCAGCGTCGAGCAGAAGTCGACGATGTCCTGGGCTGTAAATAGCTTCTTCGTCCTGAGGTACGCACAGATGCGCTGCGTGATGTCCTCATCGTCCATACAGCTCGTCCGACCAGGCGGGGAGGAGAAGTGGGGGATCTCGCGGTACGAGATATATCGGCGCGCCCGCGCTCGGATCTGCTTTGCAAGGTACGTTCCCGACGATCCCTTCGAGTCCGCCCGTGCGACCAACAAAGATGCCGCTGTCCAGATCCCACGCTCACCCGGGGCCTTCGCCACGCGCTCTAGATAGCACTGCAGGAAGTACTTGACCTGGACAAGGGCAGTCTTCGTGTGTGCCTCCAAGTCCGGCTCGCAGTACGCCTTCCGAGGCTTTTGTGGGGGTTGCAGGAGGATTCGGAGCTCATCTAGCGCGCGTTGCACATCCTCAATGGGAGGGGCGAACACGTATTCTTTCGCGGGCCAGGGTTTCGCCACGTAGATCTCGTCAAGTAGCGGAATCTCCGGGATGTAATAGACATCTTTGTCGTCTGAGTTGTGATCATCGTTGTCTTCATCATCTGTCCAGTTGTCGTACATCGCGTTGCAAAGATCCCCCTCAGTGAACACATCATACTCAGGGGGCATGTTGTTGAAGATATCACAAGCAGGCCCACTAACATCACCGTGCTCGGAAGCAGGTGGACTCGTGAATGGGGTGGATCAAAAGCTCGGAGCACCGCTGCTGAGGGATAATTCAGACCCGTAGAACGTAGAGATGCTTTTGTTGCTAGCTGAGAACCACGGGCACGTATAGCAGCTGCCCTCCGATACGTTCTGCGCGTCATTGCAGGCTGCCGACGCGTACTAAATAGGCACGTCAATATCACGGAAGCACATGTCTTTCATATGACATCGCACCTCCATTGTCACATCACATTCCACGCGCTGCTTCTTTCTGGGCTGCGCGTGATGCCCTAGGTTTGCGGCATGGTTGAATTTGCGCTTTCCCATGTCTTAAGGGGGTCGGGATGGGCGAGAGTCAGGCCGATTGCGTCGCGTCACTTCACGCCAGCATATTGCTCATTTACGCCGGATATCAACGAAAGTGTTTCCCATTTTCTCTTCGGATCATGGCATTGTACCCCCTTGTCAAGGCGCGAGGGCCCCGGCAATTTACTGAATTCACAAATGCATTTGCGGCGGGGCATCCCCCACCATTACGCTTCTCGTGGGGACTCTAAATGCATTTTAAACCCCGCAGTCGGTTGTATTCCCTTTTTGCTCGTTTACACTCCTCAATCAATGTAAATCCTACGTTTTGTAGGTGACCGATCAGGCAATTTTTGTCACGGAAACCTGGTAGGCAGCCCGGGACGGTGCCCGGAGGGGTTTTGCGCGCCCGTCACGCTTTGTCACGTGATGCAGTCGAAAGGCTCCCCAACCTATCTTAGCTCAGGCGTGATGTCGTGATATGCCTGAACCATCCAGCGGACCGCATAATCCCGCAATACAGGCAGCCTGGTATCCAACTTCACGCCCGAAGTGGCAGCCTCAATCTGCTCAGACGCCTCTTTGACAAGGTCTTTGTGTGCCGCTTTCCGCATCGAGTGCTTGAGAACGCGTTGGATGCCAACATCGAGAGGCTGGAATATGCCGGTGCAGCCACTTGGGACGAAGATGATGGTGATGTTTGTGTGGTTGGTCTTCATCCACGTCAAGAACTCCTCGCTGCAATGGACGGACCAGCAATCAATGCGCCAAATGGACCGCTGTGTCTCCGGTAGGCCAAGCTCCTTCTTTGCCTGGGAGAAGTAGGGCACAAGGATGTCGTTGACGTAGAGCTTCATCGTATGAATGGTTGACCAGTAGTTTTTTGGCTTACCCGAGGGGAGGAACTGGAATTTGAGATCCATCGCCTCGTTGTAGCATGGCGCATTTCCCTTCGGCAAGGAGTTCTTGGCCTGCGAAGACGGCTTGGTAGGGGAGCTTATGACCGCTGGCCGCAATGCCGGGAACGAGCGTGAAAGTGCGCTTCTCTTCATGTCCAAGGACATGGACTTGGGCCTCTCTGTGCTTGTTCCAGGTATGGTCAACGCCTTGCTGATAGACAAGCTGCGTTTGGTCCGTATTCAGGCAAAGACGGTCGGGGACGCCGAAATTGCGCACAACAAGCGCCTCTCGCAGTAGAGACTCATAGATGAGGCGCTGATGGTTTTCAGGCAGTTTCTGCGCTGCACGCGTAGCAGCGCGTTGGCCCCAGCCCATGCAACAAAGAAATTCACGAACGTAAGCCTTAGAGCAGCAAAACTTGACGTTCTTGTGTAGGACCTTGGTGAAGACCTCGGGCGCTTCGTGTTGGATGAAAGCGATCATGATAGCGCGGATGCCCACAAGTGTTAGTGCGACTCCCGCGTGCGCAGAGCCTCGAGTCTGTCTTTGATTTTTTGGCGCAACTCCGGATACGGCTCCTGCATCACGTCAATTGAGTTGACCGCAAACAACAGGGCCAAACTCACGAGGATGCCCGTGCGTGTCGATTGACCGCCTGGGAGATTCCCACGTTCCTCCATCTCTTTCGCCTTCGCCAGCGTGCGGTCGTTCCACTGTCTCTGCCCTCGCTCAATCCACCGGCCAATCACCTGCTGACTCAGACCCTTCAAGACGCTGACTTTCTGGGTCTCTACCCAGATCTCCTTGGGCTACCAAGCGCCGACGCCTCCCGTCCGATGCGCGGCCTTGTTGATTGGGGCCCACAAGAGAGGGTTGAACCAGTTGGTCCGCTGTGACAATGTGGATTCACAGAGTTTTGGTCAACCGGTGGGTTTCTTTTTCTTCTCGCCGTCCACCTTCCTAATTTTTCGTGCAGGCCTTGATGCTTCCGCCACGTTCAATTCGCCGGATGAACTCTCGTCGTGGTGGACAAGCTCGCGCTTCTGGAAACAAGTGAGTTGTCTAATCCTGGGATCAGAAAGCCTGCTCACTCTCTTCCTGCCCTTCGTCCCTTCCCCCTCCTGCTCGAGTCGAGCAGCCTTCTTCTTATCTCGATACCTCTGGGAGCGAATGCGATTGCTGGCCAGCTTGGGAGCATGCGCCTTCGCTGCCCTCAACTTTGCCTCCTCCTCCCGCCTCTCTGCTGTCTCCCGAAGCTCCGCAAACTCACGAGCAACGCGCTGCGTGTGCTCTTCCCCCGATTCTCGTGGGAAGTATGCAAACAAAGTTCCTTTCTGTGCAGCCTGATGCGAGACTGCAGACTTATGGAGCGACGATGATTGGGAAGGTGGGGTGCTCGACGGAGCTGGTGGTCCAGAAGGTGTGTCGTCCACAGTGTCCAGTGATCCATCGTGTTGACCAGTGGTCAGACACGATTGCCTGCTGGGTGAGACGGGCCTCGCGTCAGCAAGGCTGTCGAGATGGGGGCTCGAGGGACCCGAAGCAGGACGTGTAGGGCGGAGTGATGGTGAGTCAAGAACGTCATCTACGCAGGGTGATGACCAGATTGTGCTCGCAGAGGATGACGGCTCATCTCCCGTTGGGTATCCCATGCTCTCGTCGCCTCCGACATCGGTCCTCGGGCTTTTCGGTGTGATGGTGCAGCCATAGCGGAATGTGAAGGCGAAATCATCCTGGACAATGGGGGCATCTGTGCGCGATGACTCAGCCACTTTGACATTGCCCACACCTTCTTCGCCATCTGCTTCCTCATCATTGCCAAGCTCGCTTGCGACCTCAATTGAATGCATGCCTTCGTCATCTGCGATGGGTGTCTGCTTGGGTCAATCAAGGTGAGCCAAGAAGAGCAAGCTCCCACTCACCATCTCTAGGTTTCGGGCGCAGAGTGCACTGAACAAGTCCAAACATGCCGAGGCAGCCTCCTGACCATTGCACAGCTGCTCGTCTGAGGGGAACAGTTCGTAAGCGCACGCATTGTACGCCAGCGGGCCGCATGAATGTCTGTCAGCTTGTTGTGTGATTGGTAAGGTTGTTGTCTTGAAGACGCTATCAGAATGCATGCTGATGAACCATAGATATGCTGCTTCAAGCTTCGATGGGATGGGAGTTCCCAGAGAGTTACCGTACTTGAGCACAAGCTTGTCAGCATCAAGAACAAGTGCAACCCAGTGCAGCTCTGGTGCTTCGGGGCTGTCGGGCAGTCCACCAAGATGGGTGATGGTGACGACGTGTTGGTGGTGAGTAAACTGTCCGAGGCAGAATCAAGCCAGTGATCACACTAGAGCGACAGCAAACGAGTCAGGATCATATTCAGCGAGATAGAACGCATAACTACGCACCTAGAGCGACAGCAAACGAGTCAGGAAGAGAAAAGACTCGGATGCGCCGCTCTAGGCAGGAGGGACTGGCAAATGCCAAGGAAATATGTGGCGCTTGTTGACTTGTGATCAGCACCTCAGTAACTAAAGACCCAATAGCTCAGTGGTTAGAGCGTCACCCCCGAGAGGTGGAGGTCCTTGGTTCAAACCCAGGTCAGGTCACTTTTGTATCCCAACAGCGCTCGGCAATAAGGCGCGAGCGCAGAGATAGCACTGTAAGTAAGCGTACAGTACCGGGAAAAAGTCCATAAAATCGCAGAAAAATACCATAGGCGCTAGAGAGCGCGTAGACACCGATTCCAACACACCCCCTTGATCGAGCACGTCCTAGCGCCCAACTCCAAGGCCAGAGAGCACAGCCATGTGCTGCAGTTTGACCCGGCCCAAGGCCTTGGTCAGCATGTCAACCGGCATGTCCGCTGTCTGCAGATGGACAAGGCGGATGCTGCCGCGATGCACCTCATCGCGCAGCCAGTAGAAGCGCAGGTCCAGGTGCTTCATGCGCCCATGATGCTCCGGGTTCTTGGCCACCTGCAGCGCCGAGTTGTTGTCGATGTAGAGGGTGGAGGGCGCGCTCTTAATCAAGTAGCCACACTCGGTCAGGAAGTTGCGCATCCACAGGATCTCCTGGCCGGCAGAGCACGCCGCAACGTACTCTGCCTCAGTGGTCGAAAGCGCGACTATAGTCTGCAGCTTAGACGACCAGGAGACCGCTCCACCTGCCATCATGACAATCTGGCCGCTGGTAGACCGCCCGTTGTCCGGATTACCGCCGTGGTCCGCGTCGGTGTAGGTGTAGAAGAGCTCGGAGCGCGCATTCACCGCCTTGCCGTCATAGGTCAGCTTGTAGTCAAGCGTGCCCTTGAGATAGCGGAAGAGGTGGGTCAGTGCGCGCCAGTGCGAGCGGCCGGGGTTGCCGGTGAAGCGAGCGAGGACTGAGACCGGGTAGGCGAGGTCAGGACGAGTGGCGAGGGCGAGCCAGGCAATGGCGCCGACGGCAGAGGCGTACTCCTTAGCGCGGGTGGACATGAACTCGACGTCCTCCGGCGTGACAGGAGCATCGGCGGCGCTGAGCTTGTGCGAGGGGTCGAGCGGGGTGGTGACCGGGTGGCAGTCGGCCATGCCAAACCGCTCTAGGACGTCCACGGCGTACTGGCGCTGCGAAAGCGACAGCGTGCGCTGGCTGCGCTCGCGCTCAATGGCAACGCCCAGTAGCCAGGTGGTAGGACCCAGCTCGCGCAGCTTGAAGTGCTTCTTCAGCTCGCCGATGATACCGAGCGCCTGCGCGTCAGTCTTGCACCCAATCGTCATGTCGTCCACAAAGACGGGCACGAGGATGCGCGCGTCGCCGCGACCGTACACCCACACGCTGTGGTCGCAGAGGATGCACGTGAAGCCCATCTCTACAAGCACCTTGTTCAGCGTCTCGTGCCAGACATGACTCGCCTGCTTCAGCCCATAGAGCGACTTCTTCAAGCGCCAGACATAGTCCTTGTCAGGATCAATGCCGAGCTTGAAGCCGGGCGGTTGGCGCATGTAGATCTCCTCGGCCAGCTCGCCGTTCAAGAACGCGTTGCTGATGTCGATGGAGTAGAGCACGAGGTCGTCCATGGCGGCGAGGGCGAGGATAGCGCGAATGGCGGCCCACTTGGGCGTAGGGGCGAACGTCTCGGTGTACTCGAAGCCGGGACGCTGCGAGAAGCCCTGCGCGACGCAGCGCGCCTTGTACCGCTCGATAGACCCATCAGCATTGCGCTTGACCTTGAACACCCACCGGCTGCCAATAGCGCGCTTGCCCGGCGGCAGCTCGACCACCTCGAACGTGCCGTTGTCGACCAGCGCCTGGACCTCGTCAAAGGCGGCCTCGATCCACTTGGCCTTGTCCGGGCGAAGCAGCGCCTCTGCAAACGTCATGAGCTCGCCTTGCAGCGGGTCCGGCGCAACTGTAGTGGCGAGGGCGAAGTCGAGAGCCTGTTCTACTGACCAGTCCTCTTGGGTGATGCCGCTGAAGACATAGTCGAGGCCGGCCTGCATAACGTGCGCTCCTGGGATAGGCGTCTCATCAGTGATCTGAAGCTCGTCCTCACTCCCTGACCATTCCATCATCCTGCGCCTCGCCTCTGCTCTGTCCTGCGCATCATCCTCCTGCGCCTGCTCCCTGCGCTCCTCCTGCGCACTCTGCTCCTCCTGCTCCTCCTCCTCCTCATCCACCTCCTCAATCTGGCCGGATAACGGCGCAAACCGATTAGGGGACGTCACCTGCGGCTGGGGCGCGGGTGTAGACGATGTAGCGCGGCCTGTAGAAGGCGGCGCAGGCTGCTTTTGCCAAGCGCAAGTCGTCAATTCGCGCTCGGATAAGCTATGGGTCGGCTTGGTTGCCCGAGGCAGGCGCGATGGTGGTGGTCCGCTCGAGGTAGGCGGCCGAACTGTCTCCCAAGCAGGGGACGGACTGCGCTCTGAGCGCGGCGCTGGCTGCTGCTCCTGCGCGCGCTCCTGCCTGCCTCTCAGCGCGGCCTTGCTAGGCGGCGCAGTGCGAGACGGGCGGGGCGCAGAGGGCGGCGGCGGACGTGCGCTAGGCGGCGTGGTAGGCTCAGCTGGCTGCTGAAGCGGCGTAGAGGGTGCCGGCGGCGATGTGGGTGGCGGTGTGCGCAACTGAGGCGCGGCAGGCGCGGCAGGTGCTGGCGGTCCGGATGGGGGAGGTGGCTGATCATCATAGAGCGCGACACCATCGTCATCTGCGCTATGACGATGGGTAGAGGGCGACGGCACATCACCCCCTTGATCAGCAACATCCCCAAAGTCCGGAGGGCCTTCACCTCGGTCTATAATCTCTGCAGTGATGAGATTGAGGCTCTTGAGCGACGTCCCCGGCATGTAGCGCTCGTCAAAGACCGCATGCGAAGAGATAACCGTCTTCTTGGTGGCCGGGTTGTAGAACAACCAGGCCTTGGTCCCGGGAGGGTACCCCAAGAAGATGCACTTCTGAGAGTGCGGCTCGAGCGCGCGCCGGTGCTTGTCCTTCACCAGGACGTACGCCAGACACCC